TTCTTACACCATCGATGTACGGTGGTGGATCATCTAAACAATTTTTATAAGATATATTTATTATTAATTAGTCGAAAATAAACAATATAAAATTAAATAATTTTGTATACACTTACGTGGATAATATACTCTTTTTCCATCATTACGATAAATTAAAACTGTAATATATTCTTGATTTTGTCGAAAATCTGCTATATCTGTAATATGCCTTGTAAGAAGTATCCAGATAGCACCAGACCCTTTATTTTGAATTTCTAACGAGAATTGTGGATTGTCGCCAATATTGTATGCGTCTCTCACAGGTCCAATACCAGCTTTCCACATTCTGTAATAAAATGGAATTACTTTGAACATATTACTGATATAGTATATGAAAAGGAAAGGCATTCTCATAATACTATGGACTTTTATATATACTACTGGGAGGGCTCCGATTGCACACATCGCATATTGCACACATGTATTGCCGATTGGCCAATTTAAAAATAAAATAATCTCATTGGCAAAAAGTAAAAAATTACTAGGCACCAGTTGATATGAGTGGTGTGTACAATCAGAACTGTAGGCAAACGGGATCCTCCCATACTACTAGACTATTAACTCATATTATATAGATGTATCTTTCTTCATCTTACAGGCGTATCTCTCGCTGCATGCCGATGTACATAAGAATTGAAATTACTTTTTCAAAAGAGTTAGCAGTCTAATAATATAGATATATTATAAGTGCATAATACACATAATATAGATGTAAGAAAAGAGTTACATACTGATGTATGCAATAAGTGTAATGAAATAATCCTGGATTCCAGTTTAAATAAAATACGTCAAAGAACCGACATATACTGTCATAATCAATCCAAAAAACACCGTTATCAAATACCGAAGCAGATTCTGGATCATAATTCAATGTCTCCTTCAAATCCTGAGTCCAATGTTTTATGTCAAGTTCAGAATAATTGCCTCTCCATCGCAAATGGGACCATGGATTTTTCAATTGTAGTAATCTTTCTCCCTACATGTGCATTAATACAATTTAAGTTAAATACTTCATATTTTTTCTAAATGAATACAAAACATGAATAATGTGCTTAAAAAAACAGAAAATCTTACTTACATTTATATTGTTAAAATACATTTAAAAAAATATTAAATAAACAGTTCTTTGCTTACGTTAATCTTTCTCACATCAAGAACAGCGTATGCATGACTTGGTACAAGACCAGTACGATCTGCATCTAAATCTGATAACTCTCCTGTAGCTACAGTGACTAACACATCTCCCTTGTGAAGTCGTAATAATAATACATCAAATAAATTATCTTTATTAAAATCTACTTCATTTGGTCTTATCGCCCATCTTTCGGGTATCCAGCCAGTTAAAGCATGTAAATCTATATTCTGTAATGATATATTACAGAATTACATTAATGATAAATATATTTAAAAAATAGAAGATTAATGAAATAAATTATAGAAGAATTAGTAATTTAATATTGTCGCAAAGATATCCAAACTTACGCTATTTGATCCAGGAAAATTATAACCACCCATTACTTTCATATAAGCCTTCTCAAGTAAAGAAATCCATAGCTCCCCACGATTGCTAGAGTAGGAACAGAGTAATTGGTTGTATCGGCTTACAGGCAGAAGATCATCTATTATTACTTTACGTGGAATGCCATTGATGTGTAGTTTCACCATGTATTTTCCTAATATTATATGTTCATCATTTCTAATATATGATAAATATTAAAGTATACGTGCATGTTTTATGCAATGTTTTATGCTAAATTCTTAGAAGCCATTCCAAAAATACGTTCATTTAGAAATGGGGAGGGGGGAGTAATTGAACATGTTACATAAATAAACAAAAGGAAGAAGGGAATTGGAAGAAATGCCAACGTTTGATATTGTACTGCTGTTTATTTATTCAAATTACCCGCGCGATTGAATAGATTTCAAAGGTGCGTTCCACTTGATACTCGCAATGCTCATGAAATCATTTTATCTTTGTTATTTATCAAATGTTAAACAAGAACAAATAATGTTTGCAAGCATTGCGAGTGTCAAATGGAACACACCTTTAGAGTGCAAGGATAAATGATGCTTTGAAGCGCAATAAGCGCAAAAAGGAACATATTCTTTAACTATCATAATATTTTTGTCATCGACAGTGCTCATGTTCTATTTTTACTATTAATGGCCTTTCTTTTTTTATTAAAAAAGGGGGACTCTCTTCATTTTGTACATTCACTTTAGGGAGGATCATGGTTTCTGTTACTAAGGGTCGATTGTTCCACCTTTTGGTAAATTTTATCTGTTAGGTAAATCTGGCAATCTCCGCATGTGATTAGGTAATCTTGCTACTTACCCAGGTAAAATTTACCAAAAGGTGGAACCTAAATGTTACGAAGAAGGGAGGAGAGGATAAAAAATTCACAATTTTGACGAACGTATTTTTTAAATGACCCCTTATGTATAAAATGACTGTGCTGTTCAAATATATCTTTCAAACGTATAATTTTAATTTAAAGAGAACCATCAAGTGTGTAGAATGTTTAAAATTGCATTTCTCTTATCAAGAAACCAACCACGAACAAAAATATAACTATTAAAATGCTCGTACAGAATGTATCTCTTCCATGTAGCTTAATATTAACATTTCTTATATAGTGTATTATACAGAATATATATAATTTTATAATATAACTTTTATATAAAAAGCTAATTAAAATTAAATAAATTAAATAATTACCAAATGGGTTATACATGGGTTCCTTGCATTTATTTTTTGGATAAATAATGGATGTTATGAGTCTTCGTCCAAATTTTTTTTCATATTGAGCACTCACAGCTAGAGACGCAACAAATGAACAATCAGAAACTACCTAAAATACAAAAAAATCAATTAAATATTATTTAAGTGTGCTATAGACTCATTAGTTGCATTGTCTTTAAATTTGAAAAACTAATAATATAAGATGTTCTTAAAATGTTATACATTACTAACAGTCTGTTTTATGCTAAAATAATCAACATGATGACCAATGACCATTTTAGGATCAGAATATAATTCTTCTGGTCGTCGCCAGCCAGCGAAATCGGGCTTTTGCTTTGGTGCCAGCTCTAATAATCCGTCTTTATCAGTGAATGGAAAAGCATATTGGAATTTTTCAGCAAGATCGATACTCATAAATGGTACAAATTCGTTATCATTTATATGAGAGCCATATAGCAGTACTTTCTTTTCTTCTTCAGTATAATTAGTACTACCACCAGTTACTTTGAGATGTCCACTACTTCCCCGGTGAAGTGAAGATCTGGCATCTTTTACTGAAATTTATTCAACTAATAAATACATTACAGCTCCTTGTTTTTCGCTTTTATTTATTTTGTTTTACTACCTGGAGCAGCTGATGGCGCATTCACTGGCTGTTGTGATTGTATTGACTGTTCAGTATCTGGAAAACTGCTTTCTGGTACAGATGGTAATTTAGCAAGACTTTTCATTATGCCATTATCTGCAGTAGTTTTGATTCCTTTCAAAGATTCTCCTCGTTCAACAGCAACTCTAACAAGACTTGTTAACTTTGCTTTTACTTCTGTGTCAGCAGTTTTCTAGCAATATATCATATAGATTAAATTAAACAAATTAAACAGAAGTGTAATAATATGTTATTATACCGGGTTGTTTCAGATCACCCATACACCCTTTTTATTTTCTCAAGATAAGATCTAATCATAAAAGTACCCAGACAAAAGTTGTAGGGTTTAAAAAGATCTATTTACTAATCTTATCAGTTTTAGGTGGCGCCTCCAAGGTCAAATCAAGGTCACATCTATTTTTTTAAATAGGACATCCAACTTTTTATTCCAGTAACTAATAACCGATATCAACAGCTAAAATCTTTGAATGTTTAGGATCATGTCCTGAATAACATTTGTCAAGATCAAAGTCATTGGAGGTTGTACCTCTTATTTTCATTTTTGCACTAAGAATTCATTTTTATATAAAAATGATCCTGAACAACATTCAAGGAGTATTAGCCGTTGGTCGGGCATCTTGCGTAACGCTAATGTCTTCGGTACTGAACTTTCGAGCCTTACAACTTGAAAAGTATTCAATGAAAAATAACTTTATCATAGTGTTTTGAAAAGCTCTCGACAATGACTATTAGATATTGGAATAAAAAGTTAGGTGATCCATTAAAAAAAAATTGACGTAACCTTGAGCTAACCTTGGCGACGCCATTTAAAGTCAAATTGATAAGATCGCTAAATAGATCTCTTTAAATCCTATAACTTTTTTCAGAACACTTTTACCTTATTCTGAAAAGAGATGTACGGGTGGTCTGAAACACCCGCATAATAGCAAGAATTGTATTAGATTAATAACAAAGAATATAAATATCACTCAAAGTTTGCACAACGAAACAATTTAATTACAAAAATGACCAAATAAACGAACATACAATGATGTTTATTAATTATTGTTTTTAATCTAAAAAGAGTAACATACCAATAATCTATAAACATTTCAACTCACAGAGTCTTCTTCAATATAAATTAAATGAGCCTATTCTACTAAACATAAAATACTGTTACATATCGAAAACAATTCCATGTCAATATTCCAATGTAATTTCATCTGATGATGATGGTAAACATTAAGACGGAGATGGCATTTATTTATAGACATCAATCAATAAAGCAAAGTTTTAGCTTTAAAAATCTGTTTTTTAAATTGCAGTACAATAATTTTTTTAAAAATAATGAGCAATCAAAGTGCTCCTTTTATTTAATTAGCAATAATTCAGTAACAAAAAATCTTAGAAATATTTCAAAAAATAATTTTGTAGGGAATAGTATATATATAATATGCTAGTCAAGGATTTACACCTCGCACCAGCAAACAATTAAAGAAATGTTGGGATAATATGAAACAAAGGTAAGTATTATATAGCGATTATATAATTAGTCAGCCTATCCCAGTGAGAAATGACAATGGAATCAACATCAAATTGATGTCGATTCGACGTCGATTCCATTGTCATTTTTCACCGAAATTTTGTCTATTATATACTTTTCTCAAATATACATCTTTTCTCAAGTGTATACTTTTCTATGTATCTTTATAATTGGTTTCTATTATATTTTGATACTTATTATTTTATTAATTGATCATTTCAGAAAACGAAAATTAAGCACGACGTTCCGGCATGAACGGCTTATGACAGGTGGAGGTCCTGCGTCAGTACAGCCGAATGATCCAGTGATGGAATTTATGGATGCAACCAATCAAAACTTAGATGTAGAAATTGCTTGTGCATTTGATAGCACTGCAGTATTTGAAAAAGAATGTAAACAGTATATATGCTAACAGCAATTAAGATAATAATTATTTTTATTTTACATTACGGCAATCATTTTTAACTTTTTACTTTTCAGATAATGTAAAGACGGATTGTAAGTCTACGAAAGGAACATACATCATCCAAGATGAAAGTGAGAATGAAGAGGAAAATGTTATCAATACAATTGATATATATGATCACAGCGTTCCAGCTATTTCTCATAACACACCATTGAAAAAGAGGACAACTTGAAATATTAAAAACATAAACGTGAAAAAAATTTACGAATTAAATTATATTAATTGTTAATATTAATGATTTCGTTGTCATTTTAATAACATTACTGATAAAATATCGTAATGCATTACATGTTAAACTTTACATATTACAACGTTAAATAAATTCGACGTCAGTTGACAAGTATAAAATGAAATACATAAATGTTTCAGAATAAACTCTTTTGCTTCAACTAAAAAAATAATCTTTATTTCAATAAATTAATGATAACGAAATATTATAGTAAAGTAATTGATTTTCAGAACATTCGTGACGAGAAGGAATTAAGAATAATAAAAATAAGAGAAGCAATCGAGCAGCAGAGGGAGCTTCATGCTGCCAAAATGAAGATTAAAAAATTATCAAACTCAGACTCAAAAACCCTGGAAAGTTGACAGCCAATACATCCTACTATTTAATTACCCCATTCGAATTTTAACTACCTCTATAGATGTTATCCATGCTTGAATAGTACAGTCCCTGGGCATTAAGATAGACTCTATTCCGGGCCCACTAAATAACTCTTCAAAAACAGATATTTTAAACTTAACTTTTTTAAATTTAAATTTCGTTTATTTTTATAATGTTCAAGACAGAACTGATTTTGATGTACTTTCTGTTCAGTGAAGGCGATCAGCAGATGTTTGACCATACAGAATATAAACAGAAGATAATACGCTAAACGCAGTAGAGATGCTGTTTCACTTTTTTTGTAGACTATCGAGAGGAAAGATAAACGGGCGAGAAACGTTAAATAAAGTCTTAACTTTTTGTAATATATACAAAGGCAGACCTCATTTATGTTTAGACCGTTTCAATAAGATATACTAAGAAAGTCTAAGTATTTATGTCATATAAATTTCAGTTTTGTAAGTCTATTTTTTAGATTTGATAGTCGGTCTACAGGGTCCGACGCTGGCTAAACGGAAAATTTAGTGTCGATCTTCAGGAACCGACACAGTCTCGAACGTGTTAACAAAGTTACAACTGCTATTAATAGTAATACAAAAATACAATAGAAATTATGCAACAATCTTATACTTACTGTATTAAGGCCAAGTTCAGCAGCATCAGTATATAACTTTATCGCAATGTCCTTTAAACCTGCTTCATCCGCATCTAATGCTTGATTCATGAGAAATTTACATTTCTTTAATGCAGACTGGTGTAAAGGTTCCGGTTTATGATCATTTTGTTCTTCTTCACGAACTAAAAGTTTCAAAAATGACATTTTTCTGTTAAAAATATAATCATATTTATAGAAAATTTCATGGCATACTTACCAAGACGTTGTAGCAATGAAATCCTCTCACAATACTCTGCAAGCTTATCTTCATACATGCCATCCGAATGTAATTTAGTAAGAAGTTTAATAGCAATGTCATAATAGTATAGGGCCTGTTGATATTGACCATTACTATCAAATTGCACTGCTCTACGAGCAGCAAGTCGTGCATCATCTAAGGTTTGCGTCATTTTAATGAGCAACAAAAAAAATCCAGAATCCAGATTTATTCGACTGTAAATTGCTGTGTTCTTCTTTAAACTTCTGAATAGATTTTTGACCCATTATAAAGGGTCATAGTACATACACAGTATCATGCGATAAGTATCATGCATAGTTTAACATAACATAAAAATTGATAAAAAATATATCAATTGACGCGTATTTTCGTGAAATAAACGAATCTGATACAAAAAAGTGTCACTTTACCCCGTGAATCGAGATATTAATCGTTAAAATTGACGACTATTGAGGTTATCAAATGTATTATTTAGACTAAGCTCTTCTTCAAAAATCCCTATATGATTTCCGATCCTGTTTGCGGATCACAATCAGGGTGCCGTCACATGCGGCGTAACTTGCGTAAGTGTAACTTGCGCATACCAATCATATCATTTCACTTGACATCAGTTTCTGTCTAGTCACTTTATGCTTTTTACGCTATTTTGTTGTTACGCCGAAACATGATAGAA